CTGCAATTATTGTATTTAGGATCAAACGATGTATAGAGTTATGAAAAAATAATACGACAGTAAATTGCAATTAAATTTTCCATGTGGTTCATAATAATTTTACATTATAATATATTATTTTACTAATATTATTTTAATTGAATTAAATTCTTTATATACATTAAGATAATATAATTACATCACAAGTACCTAAATAAATTTAACACTTTATATTATTTAATTTTTAGTGATTATCTTAATTATAACAAAAAACACTTGTGTTTTATTGAACAAATTCATTATAATTTAAAACTACAGGCACAATTAATTATTAAGTATAATAAATATAAATATGTTTACTACTAAGTTTTATCAACTGTATTTTATGTGTTTGTCGATATTTTTTAACACCAATTATTTATATAACAAAAATAGAGAATCTTAAAATCAATAATTTAGAAAATAAAATATTAAATAAATTTAAACAAAAAATCATTTTGTAAAACATAAAAATAAAACACTGACAATACGTTTTAGGCAATAATCGATATGAAAAGTACCGGTAGAATAAAAATGAGATGGGATTTACAACAAAAAAGGATCATTAACTAAAGTCTTAAGAGTTTATCCAAATCTCTATACATTTAAAGTCAAAATAAAATATTGTACTACAATTGAGATACAATTGAGTTGAAAATAAGTGTAATCCTTGATTTTCATTAGAGATATACAATACGTGTGTTGAGAACATCGAAATAGAAAATCATTTATTATTATTAAATAATTATTTATTTGTTGTGCTATTTAAATAAAGTTATGTCACAACCAGACAATACAAAACGCAGTGAACACAATGTATAGGTTTACGGACTGATAAATGGCTGTGATTTACATAAATCCAACCAATTGTGGCCTTTATTATCGATAAAGTCTCAAATTAGAGTTAATACGAAGCAATGCTAATTAGAAATTGAGATTCATTTGCAGATTAAATTGTAATTAAAATGTGTGGGAGAGAGCGTATGTCTTTTAATATTTATGAAATGTATATGAAAGTACAAATAAATATTAATATATAAATTTACATTTAAAAATAACAAGTAAGATGTAACACCTAAATCTCCTGTCATCATATGTTTCATACGGAAAGTCAGATTTGTTTTATAACGTATTTGTAGGACTTTATGGTCACATAGTTTGTAACATTTGATAAATATTCTACTATTAAATTCTTTACAGATTAATAAAATAGAAAATTATAATGGTGTATAAATAAATAAATAATATCTGACAATAGACTTATTTATAAAAGTCAATTTGCGAAAGGTAATTATGACAGTAATGTACTCAAGTCTATGTCATAGTATGTCTAGTAAATGTATTTGTATGTTCAGTTATTGACAATCTTTTTATAAAATTTATCTAAAGAGGTACATTTTATAAAAGATTGTCAATAACTGAACATACAACTCTCTCTCTCTCTCTCTCTCTCTCACGCTTTTATTCTTGGAGTTATCGCTTCCAACGCTTCCAATCAATGGCTTATTCACTAAACCTTTTGTTTCGATCACATGCGAGGGCTCACTGTTCACGAGATATACACACAAATATTTTAAGTTATTTAAAGTTATTCGTAATTTTAATAAATTTAATAACATTGTAAGTACTTATTAAAAANCTCCGACTCCGAGTCTAAATTCTGTAGACTCTCTCCCTTCACGAGAGGATCGGTTTAATGGAAACAATTGAGACCCGAGGGCTGAAAGAGAGCTTCAATTTGACTCCTCATGAAAGAGGGCACTTTGGCCTCAGCCAATCCGGGAAGCATTTCCTCTTTAGGCGTTCCGTATAGACTGATGTCGTCCTTTTCGCCACTCCATGTCACTCCTGTCATGTCCTTAATGGTGACCACTGGCGGCGATTTGCAGGCCGTGCCGTCTTTGTAGTTCATTTCGGGAGTGATGTAGTCATTCACGTACTCCGACTCCGAGTCTAAATTCTGTAGACTCTCTCCCTTCACGAGAGGATCGGTTTAATGGAAACAATTGAGACCCGAGGGCTGAAAGAGAGCTTCAATTTGACTCCTCATGAAAGAGGGCACTTTGGCCTCAGCCAATCCGGGAAGCATTTCCTCTTTAGGCGTTCCGTATAGACTGATGTCGTCCTTTTCGCCACTCCATGTCACTCCTGTCATGTCCTTAATGGTGACCACTGGCGGCGATTTGCAGGCCGTGCCGTCTTTGTAGTTCATTTCGGGAGTGATGTAGTCATTCACGTACTCCGACTCCGAGTCTAAATTCTGTAGACTCTCTCCCTTCACGAGAGGATCGGTTTAATGGAAACAATTGAGACCCGAGGGCTGAAAGAGAGCTTCAATTTGACTCCTCATGAAAGAGGGCACTTTGGCCTCAGCCAATCCGGGAAGCATTTCCTCTTTAGGCGTTCCGTATAGACTGATGTCGTCCTTTTCGCCACTCCATGTCACTCCTGTCATGTCCTTAATGGTGACCACTGGCGGCGATTTGCAGGCCGTGCCGTCTTTGTAGTTCATTTCGGGTGTGATGTAGTCATTCACGTACTCCGACTCCGAGTCTAAATTCTGTTCACTCTCTCCCTTCACGAGAGGATCGGTTTGCGTTAAGTCTAATGACTTTTGCTGACAAATATTAATTTTAATGTCTCGTATATCGTCTCTCTTTTTAGTTGGCGTCGATTTGCTTTCGTCTTCATTGGCTTTCACTGACGTATAGCTCACTCTTCCGTTGGCCAGTCGTAGACTCGACACTCTTCTCACGCTTTTATTCTTCGAGTTATCGCTTCCAACGCTTCCAATCAATGGTTTATTCACTAAACCTTTTGTTTCGATCACATGCGAGGGCTCACTGTTCACGAGATATACACACAAATATTTTAAGTTATTTAAAGTTATTCGTAATTTTAATAAATTTAATAACATTGTAAGTACTTATTAAAAAATTAAGGCAAACTATAACTGATATTATTATAATAAGTTATAAAGTATAATATAATTCTAAATAAGTATACTACAGAATATTCACTATGTTTATATATGCTTAAAGAATTTGGTGACAGATAAAACAAGATAAAAGTATTAAAATTAATGTTTCGAGAATCTTTTGCGCAGATTTTTATTTTTATAGTCCAAGTAAAGTATAAATTTCAATATTACATTTTAGCTTATAATCAATATTAATATTAAATATTAATGAAATGTCATATGATATAATTTTGTATATATGGTAAATAAATAATAGAAAACTAATAAAAATATTATACAATTGAAATAAATCAGTTTGAATTAAATTTAGTTAAATTAATTTGTAAAATATGTAGATTAGCTTAGGTTCAGTCAGTACATATATTAATAAATAGCATAATATATCATATTTAATATGCACATCGGTTTGGTTAGCAGTCTCTTAGCACTTATCTTTAAATTATTAATAATCTTACTTTAATGCCTAAGTAATGGAGGAGAGAGAAAGAGAGAAAGAAAGAGAGAGAGAGAGAGAGAGAGAGAGAGAGAGAGAGACGAATACAATTACCAGAAATTTTCGTTTATAATATTCTATTATTATAAAACTTGCATATCTATAATACAATATCAAAAACTTAATACAAACAAACAACGGATCGATATAATGGTTAGTATATGAGTCTAACACATTGAGTATAACAACCGTACAGAATAATTATTATTTAATATTAGGCATAGTATTATATATTTGTTTGTCTTTCCCTTTTCTGCAATTATTGTATTTAGGATCAAACGATGTATAGAGTTATGAAAAAATAATACGACAGTAAATTGCAATTAAATTTTCCATGTGGTTCATAATAATTTTACATTATAATATATTATTTTACTAATCTTATTTTAATTGAATTAAATTCTTTATATACATTAAGATAATATAATTACATCACAAGTACCTAAATAAATTTAACACTTTATATTATTTAATTTTTAGTGATTATCTTAATTATAACAAAAAATAATTGAACTAATTCATTATAATTTTAAACTACAGGTACAATTAATTATTAAGTATAATAAATATAAATATGTTTACTACTAAGTTTGATCAACTGTAGACTATTTTATGTGTATGTCCATATTTGTACACCAATTATTTTATATAACAAAAATAGAGAATCTTAAAATCAATAATTTAGAAAATAAAATATTAAATAAATTTAAACAAAAAATCATTTTGTAAAACATAAAAATAAAACATTGACAATACGTTTTAGGCAATAATCGATATGAAAAGTACCGGTAGAATAAAAATGAGATAGGATTTAAAACAAAAAAGGATCATTAACTAAAGTCTTAAGAGTTTATCCAAATCTCTATACATTTAAAGTCAAAATAAAATATTGTACTACAATTGAGATACAATGAGTTGAAAATAAGTGTAATCCTTGATTTTCATTAGAGATATACAATACGTCTGTTGAGAACATCGAAATAGAAAATCATTTATTATTATTAAATAATTATTTATTTGTTGTGCTATTTAAATAAAGTTATGTCACAACCAGACAATACAATGTATAGGTTTACGGACTGATAAATGGCTGTGATTTACATAAATCCAACCAATTGTGGCCTTTATTATCGATAAAGTCTCAAATTAGAGTTAATACGAAGCAATGCTAATTAGAAATTGAGATTCATTTGCAGATTAAATTGTAATTAAAATGTGTGGGAGAGAGTGCCTGTCTTTTAATATTTATGAAATGTATATAAAAGTACAAATAAATATTAATATATAAATTTACATTTAAAAATAACAAGTAACATGTAACACCTAAATCTCCTGTCATCATATGTTTCATACGGAAAGTCAGATTTGTTTTATAACGTATTTGTATGACTTTATGGTCACATGGTTTGTAACATTTGATAAATATTCTACTATTAAATTCTTTACAGATTAATAAAATAGAAAATTATAATGGTGTATAAATAAATAAATAATATCTGAAAATAGATTTATTTATAAAAGTCAGTTTGTGAAAGGTAATTATGACAGTACTCAAGTCTATGTCATAGTATGTCTAGTAAATGTATTTGTATGTTCAGTTATTGACAATCTTTTTATAAAATTTATCTAAAGAGGTACATTTTATAAAAGATTGTTCTCTCTCTCTCTCTCTCTCTCTCTCTCTCTCTCTCACACATTTTAATTACAATTTAATCTGCAAATGAATCTCAATTTCTAATTAGCATTGCTTCGTATTAACTCTAATTTGAGACTTTATCGATAATAAAGGCCACAATTGGTTAATTTATTTGTACTTTTATATACATTTCATAAATATTAAAAGACAGGCACTCTCTCTCACACACACACACACACAACTTTGTGTTTTATTCATTGATTTTTTGTGTAAATTCCTTTTTCCTATCAATTTGTGTATACCGTATATATTCAATTTAATGATAGAGCATTATTTCTTATTTCAAAATATATATTTTAAATTTAAATTATAAAATTAATAAATTATAATTACTACAATGATAAATTATCAAAAATACGACATTGTATTGTAAAAGTGACAGACGAAATAAAAATAAATATAACGGAGTCTACAGTACATACAGTAGTCTACAGTTATAGTGCTGAAAAAATTGGGTATTTTCTATAAATGTCAACTTTAATTCTTATAGAAATCTTATTAAATATTTAAATTATGATACTTTACTTATAATAGCCCATTAAATTATTAATAATTTACATATATATTAATAATCCAGAATAATAATTAAAATAAAATTATAAATTATACTGTATGAAAATTATTCCATACATGGCATTTCTTAATAAACTATTTGAACATATAAACTTGTATATAACTGAACATCTATGATAATATATCAATATTTAAGAATTTAGAAGGTTTATACTTTAATTAAAAAATTTTGTATTTAGTATATATACTGTAACATAACATTGTATAATACATTATTCTCATAGATCTATCATTTTTATTACAACTTCTTGACACAGAATCACAAATGTTTCTCGAAATTAACTTTAATAATATATGGGATATATAGAAATGATAAATGACTTATTCGGCAAATTCTTATAATGTGTTATTCATATTAATAGTTATATTTATACAGAATAATTCAGTAAAGATATAGTGCTGTCTTATGATTAAGTCATTTAAATACACTAATCTTGGCTCTTAGTTAAAGATTATTTCTTACAATAAGACCAATCGATTCATACATTAGTTTTGTGTTAATTTTCAAATTATTCTTTAATTGCCTTTTCCTTCAAAAGCTTTAATTAGAGTTTAAGTTAAATGAAAAGTCTTTATTAAGTATTAGATTCATTAATTTTAAGCCTTATATGCGGTTTAATCGATTGAAAAGTGTATAACGTTTGTTATTATACAGTAGAGTATACTTTGCAGACATTATAACAGAATAAATGCATTCATAAGTAATGTACTGAAGAATCAAATAATACAAATACCGGCAAAACATTTGCCTAATGTTTAGATTTGAGTAAATTTCCAAAATATTGTCGTATTGTTTCCTGTCTATGAATGAGTTTCATATGCATTGTGTGCTTAGTTACCAACCCATGGATCAATCAATATTCTTACGTAATGTTAATGTGATGGCACATACCGGGTGCTAATACTAGATGCTGGCTCATATTGCTTTTAAGTTATTAATGGTTATATAATCTTGATATTGGTATTAATCTTAAACTATATCCACTGAATCATTGGTCTCTTTCCATTTTTAGTATTCTTTTCAATTGCATTTGTGACCAAATTTTTATGAATCATTCATTATTTATAGTAATCGTTATTATATATATGATATTATATATAATATATATATTCTATGATGTCTACGAAACAGAAATAATCCATAAAACAATTGCAAATCAGTGCTAAATAAACAACAAGCAAAAGACTGTCTATATATTACTGACAATTACTGTAAGTTATGTATAAAGCATTAAAGTTTTATCTCAACATATAAATAATAATATTTATGTCTTATTTTAATTATGTTGGCAAATATTAAAGGAACTACATTAAATATATCCATGAGTTATCTAAATAATATAATATTTTTATTAAAATAATTTTAAGATCGTTTCGTAACTAAATTCCGACTCATATTTAGCCTCCCATTCACTCATTCACTATATCCTTGCATTATATTATAGTATTACTTTATGAATGCCGTGATTATGCATTCAAATAATAAAATAGATTATTCGTGTGTTACTCCAGTAATATATAATACAGTCTGAATATAAAGATGATCTCATATCATAAGTTAAATGTTTATAATATAAACTTCAAAGTGTCATCAGTGGCTCCGTTAGACTTAATAATTTCCCAGAATATGCCACTTTTGTTTTTATTAATGTACCGGTATAATACACTTTTAATATTAGTAAAGCCAAGTGAACAATGTAAATTAAATATTCTTATTTTTTAATTTTTCTATAAATAAAACAAAATATTATTTTAAAAATTACATTTGTGCACAATAATTTATAGTTTTAATTGTAAAGCAATTTTGAAGTTTCAACATTTGCTTTAAATTTATTAGATAGATGAATATACAGTATATTAGTACTATTATACTATTATTTCTAAGTTCTTACCTCAAGATAGTTTAATTAATTTAATATTTCTAATAAAATAAAGTATATTAAGCAAATAATGGTTTATACTTTAAACTAGTCTAATCTAAACAAATTATATCTCAGTTTTATCTGAGTAATTAATATCAAAGAATTGATTTAGCAATAAATATCTAATACATCTAAATTTCTAAAAAGCAATTGCATCTTTTGTCATAATTCTTGCATTATGTCTAGTATTCATTGCATAAATACAATAGTATTACTGTATTTATATTTGTTATTAGTTTAGTCTATGAACTTTGATAAAATAAACATATACATTATAAATATAAATCGAATATTAATATGTTATTTATATATTCTATTGGTGATCATTGTCCAGTGTATATTAAATATTAAACAATATTTTATTCTTATGTATATATTCTTATAATATTAAATTTTAAATTTTTACGTTTTACAAATAAAATTAGATATTTATTTACATATAAAATTATAGCTCAAACATTTATTAAAAAGCTATTAAATGACAAATATTATATTATCCACGTTCACAGATCTTAACAGTAAATTCCACAGAGAATTATATTTTTAATTCTCAGAATATTTGAGAAATCAAATTATTTACAAATTCAATAAATTCACTTTTCAAAACACCGAATCTCATTACTAAAAATTGATGCTATTTTAAATATTGAATTAACTCATAAATGTTTATTTAGTATTAATTCTCAAAAGTAGAAAATTGGGAATCAGAAGAGACTTAAATTTTGTTTATACATCTTAGGTTACTACCAAGTTAAATTATATTAATAAAATATCATTAGATTTAAAACAATATAAAATGTGAATATATAAATGAGAAGATAGTTGCTAATTAAAGCTATATAACTAAAATGTAGTAGATGTAGTATTTAATAACATTTTATAGTGGCAGTAATATAAATTACTATAAAGTTTAATATTAAATTGAGAAAGCTATTACAGTATTGTAATTTAACAAAATGTTAAACATTATATAATTATTTAAACTTAATTGCAAGTAATAAAATTGTATAATTGATTATTTCACACTTTTAAAATGTTGAGAAAATTTAAACAACACTGTAGTATAAAAATAATTAAAACAAATTTCACAGATTACAAAAGCTGTTTTTAATATAAAATATATTTAGATATTTTAATTAAATAAAATTAATATTATGTTAATGTGGTTTATGTTTGAATAAAATAAATATAAAATAAATTTATACAACTCTCAAATATATGTTAGGATTACAGGAATAAACTAAGAATCGACTGTTTGGTCAATAAATATATAATATATGCTAATATCCATGTCTAACACTCCCTATTGTGTATAGACATTAAAGTCAACAGTTTTGGTAATTTGAAACTCAATTTGAAACTAAACTTTTTGAAAGAGTCAAACCGCTAACACTGCTGAGCAAAACACTGTACAACAACTTGTCTTTTATTGATTTATTGAATTATTTTAACTTTCCTTCAATTACACAAAGAGTATGTTTTTCTATTGAGAAAAAATTTAGCAAAAAAGTTAGACACAATTCATACAACAATTGGATTTTCAAAGACTTGGAGTACAAAAATAAGTCAGAAATAATTAAATGAGAAAAAGGTCTAATAAAAAGTTAATTCAGGAGTTATTGACTTAAAAAGCGCTTTCAGTTAATCACCGGTCGAGACATTAGAGAACATAACAATTCTCGAAACCAATCAATATTATAATTATTTATATTGTAATTGCCCCATTTTAATAGTTTATTACTTTTGTACTCAATTTTTCATTAAATTCTTTAATTATATTGTCATCTATTAAAAAGCACTTAGACTTACACATTAAATTTAATCCACTTTCATGATACAAAATTTAATTCTATAGCATCTTGTACTTCCACATAATAAAAAAAAAGTACCCTTTATAATTGGTTTATATTTTTATATTAAAAGCAGTTTCGATAAATGTTCAAAATTACAAACATAACTTATGTCTTAAAATTATCTTGTATGTATGCAAGTATGTAAATGGTGAATATTATTTTGTTTTTGATACCATGATCACAATGAATACAAAATATTTAAGTGTTTATAATGGTAGAGTACTAAGTTATAGTTTATAGAGTAACATATTAATAAATAATTCTATAGGTTAGGGTCTCATCCATTTATACACTTTGATTGCTTACTATACTGTGTAATAGGTTTGAGATATTATACACTATAGAATAGTTAACGCATTACTTGAGAAGTTATATTTATTATATAAGACAATTAGTTGTCATAATAGCGAAAAAGTTATATAATATATTATAACATACTGCATATATTTATATAAATAATAAGAACATGTTTTTATAAGAATAATATATTCATTAATATTAAAGAAAATCTATTCCAGAAAAAATCAATGCATTTATTTTGTGAGAGTACCGTATTTTATAGCTTTTATGGTATTTACTTTATAGTCAAATTCTGAATTAAATTAATGACTTTTTTAGTATAGTTTTTTTGAAATCCTTAATTTATCAAAAACTAAACAATATTTCTAAAACTCATAATTAACACATTTCTTACATCACATTAAATTACGTTTAAGTTTCTCTAAAAATATTAATCAATGTAAAATGAATTTAATTAAAGTGAAATATAATATATTAATAATGTAATTTATAATTTTGATAACACTTTCAATCAAAACCTGGTGAGCTTTTAATAGCACGATACGTCTGCACTCATTGATACCATACAAATTCTGTAGTATTGTATCTAAAGGGGTAATACACCATTATGGCAACTAACTACTGTAGACCAGTGTTTTGGAAACTTATTTTTTTATGGACATTATATGCCTATAGGAAGCACTTGATAATTGATATACAGTATCAGGGTGGCACAAGAATGAGGGTTTGGTACTTCTAAGTTAATATTAACTTTAACTTTTACACTGCAATTAAGGTTTTTAAGTTCATAGACTTTATTATTTAAACAGTTTTTATTCATTTTTTCCGGCAATGTATATAAGAAGTTATGAATTAGTAATAATTTCATAGTTTATAGTTTCACTGACTTGTGAGTTATAATTTGAAGACAAATATTGTGTCTTCAACTATAAGAATATAAATTCTGATTACAGAATATATTAGAGTGAAAGATAATGAATCACTTAATCTATTAATATATAAATGAAATTCTTACATTAAAAGTAAATCAAACTTATTCTGCTAATTTATTTAAACGTTAAGACAAAAAACAATTAACACATTTCTTCAGTTCATTTATTTTGTTGTTTTAATAATAATTACTTTTTGGGCAAATATGGGGCAAAACATAGCAATCAATTATATTTCTATACTTAACAATAATAATAAAACAAAACATATTATTCTCATTAATTCCTAGAGTTTAGAGGAATTGTAGGGAAAAGCGAGTGTTTTGTGTTTTGGATGTATTGTCTATACTTTGTATGGTATGTCAGGACTAGAATAGAGTTAATTCGTTAGTTTTGCCAAATGACTAAATCTAGGATTTATTCCTTTACTACAAAACCATATAATAGCATGAATTGAACCCTTCTCACCATATTTCTAATGAATTGCTTTCTCTTTTAAATAATAAATAATATTTGATTGAAATGTCAAAAAAGATAGAATTCTAAAAGAAATTCCCTGTTGCTTTTTAAAATTAATTTTTTATATAATACTGTATAAGGTACTGTNTAAATATATAATATATGCTAATATCCATGTCTAACACTCCCTATTGTGTATAGACATTAAAGTCAACAGTTTTGGTAATTTGAAACTCAATTTGAAACTAAACTTTTTGAAAGAGTCAAACCGCTAACACTGCTGAGCAAAACACTGTACAACAACTTGTCTTTTATTGATTTATTGAATTATTTTAACTTTCCTTCAATTACACAAAGAGTATGTTTTTCTATTGAGAAAAAATTTAGCAAAAAAGTTAGACACAATTCATACAACAATTGGATTTTCAAAGACTTGGAGTACAAAAATAAGTCAGAA